ATATATATATTAAATATTGTTGTTATTATCAGCACTTAGTTCGATTACTTGTACGGCACTCCCGAAGCAAACGCGCGGTGCGACGAACTGGCTGCAATTCGTTCATTCAATTGAATCGGCAGCGGAGTGTCGATTAAAAGCCGATGATTAATGCATGAAATGCATTAATCAATTTTGTCACATAAGAGCCATTTCATGACTTGTGGCTATGCTGTATTAGTTAATATTATTAATGACAGTAATATTATCTAACATTAATATTAATGTTATTAATAACGGTGTAACGGATACTGTTAGCTTCTTCGTCTTTGAGAACTCTGTTGGGGAAGCGAACGGAAGCCCTCGAAATACTGAGCGCCTTTGCATCAAGACTGTACCCAGGGGAAGGAACTTTTTAATGCTTAAAAAGTTATGAATTTTCAAAAAATAAGTCACTTGAAATATGTAATATATTTCGTTAGAGAGTCGTTATTTCGATATGCTTATAAATCATTAAACACATCGGTTAGTAAGCATTATCGTGTTAGCTATAAGACAGAGCGACGTTTGATATCATTCAGTATCAAAGAAATGCGAAGAAAAGCGAAACAACAACATGTTTCGCTACCCGCCCGTACGAACGTCGGTGAATGAATGATAGCACGTGGCGCGCTTGTAAACACGTGACGCATTATTCGCGCTCGTAAACACGTTCAGTCGCGGCGCGTAAATGCAATTGAATGTACAACAATCTAACTATGATGTAATATTAAACAATATTACAAAGAAAATTTTATTTTCACTTGTTACAATATCTTTCGATAAAGAGACATGAAATCATATAATTGACAACTTGTGATTATTATTAATTACATTATTAATAATATTAATATTATTTAACGTTAATATTAAAGTCATTAAAACAGTGTAACAGATACTGTTTCTTCATCTTTGGTACAAAATCTCTCGGAATATTCAGCCCCTCTGCCACGTCAAGACCGAATTTTGAAAACGGATTTATGGTCAGCAAGAAAAAGTATATCGAAAATGACTATTCACATTCGTGAAAGAAAAAGTCGAATTCTGTCGGACAATGTGTTTTACATGGAAAAAAATCTATTTTCAAATTGCTGTACTTATATCTCGAAAATTAAAAATCATATCAAAATGAAGCGTATTTTAAAGCTAAAAATTGATCGCGTATCATTAGTGAAATTTAGAAAAAGAAATTGGTATCGGAGTTATCACGAAAATTAAAAATTGTCATTTTTGGTCTCTTTAATGCCATTTTTCTCAAAATTGTACCAAATTTGGATAATGCATTCAATAAGCAAAAATATATATTGAATATAACTATTTCATGTTGCAAAATGATGTTATACGATATTATTATTACAATTTGTTACGATAATAAATGTATGATTTTAATAAATGTATGATAAATGTATGTTCGATAAATGAATAATAATAGATATGATTTTATAAAAACAATGAATTACAATTATTTATATTCATAAGTAAGACACGCGAATTTTATGTGTTCAAAAAAAAAAAATTAATTTTATTTCATTTATGTCTTACAATAAATTTCACAATAATTCTTATAGAATAATATTGAATACACAAGTTGAGATTTTAGAGCTATGAACCAGACTGACCGCAAATGACTGAGCTGTTAAGTCCCTTTTGTATCGCCTTATATAGGGCTTGAAAATAATAAAAGGTCTAATGGAACTCCTAGAGTAGACGATTTCAGTGATTGGAAAGATAGGAATAGTTTCAGAATTTAGAAAGATAGGGGATGTTTCGAAAATTAGGAAGGTAAGAGACGCTTCGAAGATTAGAAAGATAGGAGGGTCGTAAAAGTCCTAGCTTGGGTAGGTATTCGAACCTTACATTCAAGCTATTATACTACAATTATTTATATTAAGATTATCTTACTTACAAAATGACGTTAAGCAAAAGGCGCCAAGTAATTCAAACATAGCAACTTCATAAGTACAACGTGAGTCAAGTTGATACCCAATAGAAGTGCGAATTATTCGAAAATATCGCATCCAACATAATTCAGACGTGTAAATCCCGAGATCTAAATGAGATTAAACAACCGACGTATCACAATCACTTGTTCAGCTGAATTACACGATCCGCATATTCCGCCATGTTGAAATCGATGGCATTGAATCGACTCGCGTAGTAGTTGATTCGAATCACTCTGCGACGACGATGGATAAACTAACACGTAGTGGGAGACGCGCTCGAGAATCCGCAGAAAAGATGTCGTTCGCTAAGTAAAACACGAAATAATGTGATATTCCGAACTGCTGCATTTTTCGATCAATGCAGGTAAGCCACGCAAGATAATTATTCTGAAGAAGAACGGCGAGAATCGTCGCATGAGCAACACTTTAGGTCAATTGTATAATAAATATTTCTATACAATTCTCGATTTGTACTTAAGATCATTCACGTCTTGATAAAACTTAAAACGTCACGAATGTTCATATTACAAGCACTTTTGATTAAATTTTGTTTCAATAAGTTTAAGTATTTATTTTTATTTAAAATATCATCGATAAAACTAATTCGCCGATATCTGCAGTCGAAATGCAACCTCATACCATTACACTGCCGCCGTGGTGTTAATGGCGAGTTAGTATATATTTTCTTGATTTTCATCGCATATCTCCACAATTGTATTGCTCGTAAAGTGATTTGCTCGACGATCTCTTTAATACGATTCCTAGGCAAGACTAACGGCGCGGTCATCATCATAAACGTGGTGCGGCGCAAAATTCAACGCGCTACGTCACACATATACAAAAACAAATTCACGCCGCGATGTTTTTAACACGTCATTACGAATATAATGTTATTGTTTTTTTAGATTTTGATAACGGATTATTACCGTACGTTCCCATACTCTACCTGATGGACATCGCCCTAGATAACGAACACTTTGAAATGTCTTCTTATTCGAGTCCCGGTAAGTATCTTTGTACTTTCGAAAGTTCATGATTATCTTCAGCTAAGTTTTTACATTACTAATGAAATAAAATATTTGTATAATTTATACATTCTAAAGTATATTTTATTTTTAAAATAAATTATGTACGTATTACAAAGAAATTTCTCCCTTCTTTTTTACTATCTTTCAGAATAAATAAAAAATATAAATGAATAAATGTAAAACTTCTTTGAATTTAGATTCTTTTTATATAATATTTTTTAAGTTATTCGTCTAATGATTAACTAACTTTATTAACTAATTTTATTATTAAAAATATTTAATATTTTATACGAAATAAATTTAAATTAAATATTTTGTGTTTTATATTTCTATTTAAATATTAATAAACAAATAAGAGAAAGATATAGAGAATGTTTTGGTTTTTTATATTCATATTACTTAATTGAGGTATGCATATGTAAGACTCCTATGTTTTTCTATAATTAATGTTAATTTTATTTTTGGTGATTTGTATGTTATTCCTTTTTCTTAATTAAAAAAATGACAATAAATTACATTATGTATTTATTATCTATTTGAAGCTTGATAAAATACATTTAATTTAACAAGCATTATCATGGAATTAATAATCGTTCATATAGAATAAAATAACAAATAAAAATGTTTATTCTCTATTGTTTTAATTTTTAAAAAAACATTTTAATTTCATCTTTTTGATAAGATAATAATGCCAAAGAAAAGCTTGAGAATGACCATGCCATCTTTTTGAGGGGATCATCAAAACTTTCTATAAATTTAACATAATCGTAACTTTAACTCAACTTATACGCTCTCAACTTTACCTTAACTTATAGCATACAGAAAGAGATTTTCTCTTTTAACAAAGTAATGGTATTGAAATAAAAGTGTTATGTTCTGTTAGGAAGAAATTATATAATATGTTATGATAATATATTGTAATATTAAAGATATTTAAATATAACATTTGTTATTGCTCTTTAATGTTTTATATTTTTAGTTTAATCAAGAAAGTTTAATCGAGAAGTTAATTCTTGAAAAGGTTTTTTTTATTTATAAAAAATTATATACAAATATATAAAAAATTATTTATCCAAGTTATCCAAAGTCGATTGGATTCTCGCGGCGATATTACAAACACTTGTTTATCGACGGCTACATGAAGATGAAATTTAGTCGGTAATCAACGATGCAGCATTTAAACAAATGCATTTTTAAGTAAAAAAAATTCATCACTGTAAGTAATAGAAAAACTCAGATTAAGGTATTTTTTCTTGAAAAAAAAAAAATAATAATAATAATAAAGAAAATTAAGATAATTTTTAATGCATAATATCAGATATATACATGAATTTTATATTACATATAAT